GCAGAATTATATTTCAAACAATTCTTATTTATGAGTTTTCTTCGTTTACTCATCAAATGAAGTTCATAACCTAAGGATACTTGAATAAAAATTCCAAAATCCTGCAATACCCGCGAACATCGCCTGCTCAAGTATCTTATTATCACATGCTCAATTCCTGCTGAACCTAGCTGCTTTTTCTACAACCTCCCAGTTTCGTTAAACCGCCTATAAATCGATTGGATTGTCTTCTAGCAGTTTGAATTGGAGTGCTAATACCATCGTTCCTCCTCGTCGTTAATGACGAAAGGTGCTAAAACCTTACATGATTGTTAGATGTACAAACTTCCCTCAACACGATTTTATGGAATAGAATGCAATAAGTGGATGAAATTTAATTTTATAAATAGTAGAGAATCTATATTATTTTTACCAAGAGTGTAGTTTACCCGAATAACTGCCAATTCTCAATCTGTATTTGCCTGATTCATCAGCCACACTAAACATTCCATATTTTAGCGTAAGCCTCAATGCCATAGAAATCCATCAAATCAACTCTTAGAACATTTTGGCCAGATTTGGTCAAACGATGTATTTTATCAAGACCCAACCAGAACTCGCCGTTAAGATCACCAAAGCCTGCTTTATAGTCTGACCATCCAAGGTAGAAATCTTGACTTCCATCTTGTCTTCTTTGAAACACGGTCCAGCCTCCACCGTCTGTGCTCATATTACATCTGACTTGAAACGATCCCAGGCCATCAGGATTGATGGTATAAACACCATCTTTCTTCACTCCTAATCCGTACAGATGGGCGCAGCTTCTAGCTAAAGAATTGTAAAAATATCAAAGAATAAGATCGATGAGCGATACCCCCCTGAAAACTGACGTTGTTGGCAATTGAAACTATTTGACTGTCGTCCCAGTCTTTAGAGAGAGTTAAATTTGCATGTATATGAATAGAAAATTCTTAGGCAAACTGAGCAGCAGTGTACTTCAGCATATTCTATTAACGTAAGAGGGTGCACATTCATAGATCCATGATAAGTTGTAAACAATTGGTTTACGAAGGAATCAGTAGAAAATCGTAACATAGTTGGAATAAAAAGAACCGTCTAAGTTGTTATATAATTATTTTTATTGCAGAAAAAACACACCAAATCTTCAACAGAATCCAACCCTATGCATTTATACATTCAATCGTTGATTTCATAAGTATCGTTTTAAGTTTTACGTGCGTGTACAAATGTAGAAAGAACGCGACAGCGGAAAGCAGAAATGACAGTTCGTTAGACATGACTGTTCCACACATTGGCTGTTAGGGATTAAAAGGCTGTGAATTAGTTTTAAATAAATAATAACGTATGATAATGCGTACGTAAGAGGCTAAGGGGAGGAAGTGAGAGAAAGTTTTACTGCAATTGTCCTTCCTTGAGAATACCTGAAGTGTCATTTTTTCTCTTCTCGTCCTCGTTTCTTTCCTGAAAGAGAATGATTTTAGCGTCTCTTCAAACGATCCAATTTTGTTGTGTCCAATTAACCTCTGACGTATGGAATATAGTGGGTAACTGATAAAGCAGTACTGTGTTAGCTTCAGTGCATTTACTGCCCACATACAAGAAAATTAACAGACTATTTATGCGAACAGCCTTTGGAAATGCACATAAACTCTTTATAAACAAACAGTATTTTGCGAATCTAAAATATATTTTACATACTGTTTTATTATCGTGCATTAGTATCCATTCTCCTTCTTCCGTTGTTTCAACGTGATTTCCCTTTCCAGTGATGTTAGTCAGTTGACAGTTCACAACACTGATCTTGTCTCTGTAGTTGAATCCAACACATTTCGGTTCTTTTTGGCAGAGCTCGTAACATTCTTTCGGTAGAGTTTTTAAGTTGACGGTATGATTTGATATGATTTCTTCTTGAGGTAAAGACGGACCTCTTAAAAGTAGTGAAAATTGTTAGAGAAAGGAAATTTTCAAAGGAAAAAGTTCTCGACCACTACGAACCCGATTCTTTTTAACTAAGAAAAAGCAACCGAGGTAATACCTTTTCTAATAGTAATAATGGCTGATGAACATTTCTGTGAAGAAATACGTGCAATTTTGATTATCAGTACGATCAAGGTTATTTTTCTAAACGTGATTGCACGAGGTCGTCAACTGTGCTTACTTTAACAAGCAGTCGCTGAAATGACGCTTACATGCAATCAACAAAGCAGGTTATAAGTCAGCAGATCTGGGCGTAATTATGCTAGTTATGAATATATTTATACTCTATTCATTGTAATGAGCAAGCGCATGTGTGCAGTAATAATTTCTGGCTTCATGTCTTTCGGGAAAAGAAAAAAAAGACAAAATCACGCACGAGTAGCAGGAGATGGCTGCAACATTTTTGTCTTCTGAAAGCTGTAGCGTCCGCTGTGCATTACTGCAGTACACATGACGTGCGGAAAATTTTATTCGGTTGCTTTCATATATCAACGACTAGACGTTGAATATTTTATCATTTTTATTGCGATGTCATACTCGTTGTTAAATAATGCACTTATCGACTAATGCACTTTTGACATTAAGCCCGCCGCAAACAAGAGCTATCAGCTGTGCTAACGATTTCGCGAGGCAGTTAGCTCAGCCCGAAAACCATGAGCTAACAGCCACACGTGGTCTTTAGCTTAGCTAATAGCTCTCGTGTGCGGCGGGTTTAAACCGTACCTGTTGTAACGTACATAAAAATATCTAAAGCAAAAATATGAAACAAACCATTCTGATCTTAAATCCTCCTTCTCAACCGCATTTCTCTGTAGTCCACATAATAGTCTCACTACACCACGTACTCCTACACTTTTAATAAAATAAAAACGAAGCTAATATATTATTTCTTTCTTGCGATAAAGTAATCATAACTCATAAATACTTAATTGAGTAATTAATCTTATAGCTGTTGGTAAAATATAGATGATAAAAATAGTTTAGTTTGTAAAAAGCGAAGCGGAAAGTTATTTTGATTAGGTTGAAACGGACAAAAAGCGTTCCTTTCCGCGAGGGATTTGCCAGTGGCTGTTATTGCGAGTCCTGCCTATGACGTTTCTCAAAATTAGGCACGCGGGTATATTTTATTACTTCATGACAGCGAGAACAAGTTCCGTTTGTGGAACTTCTGTTAACGATTTCGGCTGGGGGTTTGGGGGCTACGCTTGTTGGTGGTAACGAACGGGATTGTTCATTATAGACCTTTGAAAAACCATATCGTTGTAAGGAGACTGGTTGTGAAAAAAATCACAATAATCGCCTTTTAGACAAGACCCTTTCCTTTGAAGAAAGGGACACGGGATATATTGTTTCTGATCATTAGGTTTGGGCTTTGTATTCAGAAAGTCACAGTGGTCTCCTTTAATGCACCAGCCTTGTCGTAAAAGAAAGGGGCACGGAATTGAGCTTTTATTAGAATTAGCGAAGCGATTAGTATTAACATAATTGGTCGAACGGTTTAGTTGTGCTTTCAACTTCAAATTCTCGTTTTTTAGTAAATAATTCTCATGTTTTTAATCAATGACAACATTGTTACTAAATTTTGATGTTTGTTGATTTGAAAGGGGGGCATCAGTCTTCGGTTTACTAATATTTTTGTCCGGGTCGGTTCTCTGACCTTTCGATGGAATTTTATTATTAGGGCGAGGTGGGCTCAGATTGCTTTCATTAAGAATAACAGTTTGTTCACAGTCCTGCGATGGTAATTCTTCTGTGATGATAATTATGTTTGCTGATGCGATGTCGTTGTTTATATCATCGTGGGGCTCGTTAGGTATTTGTTTATCAGGAGACACTAATTTTGACTTAAGAAGTATATTCTCTTCGTTAAGATGTGTAATGGTTTCGTCTTGACGACGAACCACCCCTTCCAATTCTATAACTTTTGATCGAAGTGAGTTTAAATCCAACTCGTACCGGTGGTCACTTTCTGATAGTGCTGCAAACAAACGCGACTCTAGCATTGTCATATCCAGTTTATGAACTATGCACATCATCAAATAACTTTCGAAGTTAGAAAGCGCCGTTTTAAACCCCTCTTAGTTTAATTAGACAGAGTAAAACGTCGTCCTGAATGGATAATCGGTACTTCTATGCATTAGCTTTTTTGGTAATTATGATGTTAATAAATAGAGAGGTTAAGATACCCCGGTTCCGGTGTACGGGTACGGATAGCCTTATTTTGTTCAATGAACTTCCATCAGTGTTTCTCTCTTTTACGGGTATCTTAACCTCTCTATTATCATAATAAATCTGATAAAACATTAATGAACTCAAGCATGCAAGTAAAGTTTTTGACAACACGTACGTTAACCGGAAGTAAAGTTTTTGTTTTTCACCAATCACAATCCTTGACCCAGTCTTTTGACATTGCTCATGCCGTTCGTGTTGTTTAAAACTTCACGTAAGCTCGACAAACGTTTATTTATTAGGCAAACGCTTTACACTGGTCGTAATCCGTCAGGACCAGTCTCTTAAAATGCCCAGCGATGTCACAAAAACGGCCTACATTCATGGATTACACCGCTTTCCTAATTCTTATATGGAATCGTAGGCTTGTATCAAAATAGCTGTCATTTTAAGAGCGGGCTAAATATCAAATCACTCAGTGCATGATAGTATAAAATGCGTCAATACGAAAATTCTGCATAGTGAAAACATTGAATTGTTCAACAAAATGCAGCTATAATATTAGCATAATAAAAAGCTCAAAAACTACCTATAATATTTATTGTTTTACAAGGAATCCTCGCGGGAGTAAATCGTCTCGCTATGGTCTATAATCATAATATTCATCAATTGATGTTTTGAAATACGTTACTGAGGGCCTGTTTACATGTGTCCGGCTAGCGAAGCGCAAGATGATGATAATTATTAAGGTATTGGAATAAGTCTATATTAAACCGAACAAGTGCAAGCTATTGTCAAGATGATTATACTTATTTCAATACCTCAAAATCATCACTCGCTTCTTTCAATCCCGGTTAAACGAGCTTATGTAAGCAGCCCCTTAGATTTTGTAGATGCCTGCATGGTAACATTTTTGACTGTGAGAAGAAAGACCTCCGACTTGTTTTTCAACCGTATCTTTTGATGGTTCATGTACTACAAAACTGTATTTTAGTCAAAAGTTTCAAACCTATTCATTTGGTTAAGGTTTTATGATCCCGGACACTCGAGATTAAAGCAGGCGTGAAATGACTTTGAGGTATTGAAATAAGTAAATAACATGATCTCTGGCAGTCACTTAAACTTCCCGAAATTAGGATGTTATTGCTTTTATAAGCTCTACTTACTCAAAGTTAACACAAGTAAACCGGTCTGAATTTTTGCATCCTTACTCCTTACTAACTATCACTGACCCATAGGTCTGCTATTATACTGTTATTATATCAATTAAGTATTTTTTTGCGACTAGAATGATAGTAAACAATCACAAATTGATTTGCATGCATTATTCTGTTTACAATTAGAAAAATCAACACCCTGCTAAAGCTCGTCCTTTTCTTAGAACTGGTTTGGACGAATTTTCATCTCTGTCTTTTTCATAGAAAAAGAGTGCCAGTTGGTCCATCTTATTCCGCTGGCACCAGTCTGACCTGCACCCAGGTACAGGCCATTGAGGTTAGACTGATGACAATGTTTGTACCACCAAGCTCCTTTGAATCTCGTAGCACAATTATTACCGTCAGCATCATTGTCACTATCCTTGGTAGTGAACTGCATTTGATTGTGATAATCAAGAGAATCACCTACGTTACCTTTTAAGAAATACAATAAAACTCCTCAATGGAAAAAAGTTTAAAGCAAGAGGAAATATTATTTTTTAAAGAAAATTAATGCAAAGTAAGGTAGTAGCGGTGAAGTCATTGCCGTTAAATCGCATCGACGTAGGTTCGATTCAACGAAGCAAACAAAAATTGCCTGCCTTTCCTGCAATTTTACCAGTTTGGTTTACTCGATCTTTAAACGGCTAATCTACACGGTATCGCTTGAATTGCGTTCATTCACCGTATGAAAACCTGCTGCATTTGTCAAGCTAGGGAACTCTAAATCATCTTGAAGGTCTGTAATTTTATCAACCGCTCGGTCAATTTTCTGACCATGCTGTTTTTAGTTGTCAAGCATTTTGTGAAATTGCTAGAAATATTCATATGAAATAGAGAATCTTTTAAGCCCTTCTTAGTTATCCTACGTTTCATGAACAAATATTAAGTTAAACTTTAGCAAATCGTAATGACAAAATGTGTAATAATCTTGCATTGTGCCCCAAAAGTACCACAGAGAGAGAATGGAAAATAATTTATTTTTATGAATCGCTTGATTACCTCCTCGTTTTTTGCTCACGAAAATAATCACACGAATTATTATGAATAATTAAAATGCATAAAAATTAATATGGTGAATGCAAAAACTAGTGGTGGTGTTATTAGCTGTGAAAACCAGCGTACAACCATGAAATATGATGTTTAAATCTTCCTATGCGTTATATAAACTGCGTGATATATAGTTCTTAAATGACTTGATATAAACAAATATTTTTGTTGAAATTAGCGTGATTCGTGTAATCACTGCATACCGGCTATTATGTACCATTAAATAAAAATTTCAAAATCTATCCCAGGGTTTGATTTACCTGAATAACTGCCAATATTCAATCTGTATTTGTCTGATTCATCAGCCACACTAAACGTTCCATATTTAGCGTAACGTTCAGCGCCATTGAAATCCATCAAATCAACTCTTAAAACATTTTGACCAGATTTCCACAAACGATGTATTTTATCAAGGCCCAACCAGAACTCACCGTTAAGATCACCAAAGCCTGCTTTATAGTCTGACCATCCAAGGTAGAAATCGTGACTTCCATCTTGTCTTCTTTGAAACACGGTCCAGCCTCCACCGTCTGTGCTCATATTACATCTGACTTGGAACGATCCCAGACCGTCAGGATTGATGGTGTAAACACCATCTTTTCTCACTCCTAAGCCGTACAGATGGGCGCAGCTTCTAGCTAAAGAATTGTAGAATATCAAAGAATAAGATCGATATGCGATATCCCCCTAGAAACTGACGTTGTTGGCAATTAAAACTATTTGACTGTTCCAGTCTTTAGAGAGAGTTAAATTTGCATGTATATGAATAGAAAATTGAAAATTCTCAGGCACAGTGAGCAACACAGTATACTTCAGCATAATTATTTTATAAACGTAACAATCGGTTTACGAAGGAATCAGTAGAAAATCGTAAGACAGTTGGAATAAAAAGAACCGTCTAAGTTGTTATATAATTATTTTTATTGCAGAAAAAACACGCCAAATCTTCAAAAGAATCCAACCCTATGCATTTATACATTCAATCGTTGATTTCATAAGTATCATTTGAAAAACTAATGATTTTAAGTTTTACGTGCGTGTACGAATGCATGTAGAAAGAACGCGACAGCGGAAAGCAGCGCTTATTTGACGCTATGACGTCGTTCGTTAGACATGACGGTTCCACACATGCATTGGCTGTTAGGGATTAAAAGGCTGTGAATTAGTTTTAAATAAATAATAACGTATGATAATGCGTGCGTAAGAGACTAAGGGGGAGGAAGTGAGAGAAAGTTTTACTGCAATTGTCCTTCCATTTAAAATACCTGAAGTTTCATTTTTGCTCTTCTCGTCCTCGTTTCTTTCCTAAAAGAGAATGATTTTAGGGTCTGTTCGCACAATCCAATTATTTTGTATCCAATTAAACCCCTGACGTATGCAATATAGTGGGTAATTGATAAAGCAGAACTGCGTTAGCTTCAGTGCTTTGCTGCCCATATACAAGACAATTAACAGACTGTAAAACATCCATCAGAAGGGAATATGATCCAACAAAATTCGATTGGTGTGAAGAGACCTTTGGAAATTATTGCATGAAGTACGCTGGAGTACGTATGACGAGTAAAACATGAAAGTTTATATAGACGTTCGTCGTCTGGATGAGTTTTTTGTTGTTGCCTAAGTTAAAGGTTTAATTTACGACTTATCCGCTATATATTTTCTCTCCACACAAACTCTTAATAAACAGTAACTTTGCAAATACATACCGCTTTATTATCGTTCATTAGTATCCATTCCCCTTCTTCCGTTGTTTCAAAGTGATTTCCCTTTCCAGTGATGTTGGTCAGTTGGCAGTTCACAACATTGATCTTGTCTCTGTAGTTGAATCCAACACATTTCGGTTTCTTTTGGCAGAGTTCGTAACATTCTATCGGGAGAATTCCGTAGTTGACGGTATGACTTGATATGATTTCTTCTGGACGTAAAGACGGACCTCCTAAAAGTAGCAAAAATGGTAAGAGAAAGGAAATATTCAAAGGAAAAAGTTCATCAACACTAGGAACCCGATTCGTTTTAACTAGGAAAAAGCAACCGAGATATTACCGTTTCTAATAGTAGTAAAAATCTCGGAAGAACATTTCTGTGAAGAGATACGTGAAATTTTGATTATCAGTAAGATCAAGGTTATTTCTTTAAACATGATTTCACGAGGTCGTCAACTGTGCTTACTTCGACAAGCAGTCGCTTAAATGACGCTTACATGCAATCAACAAAGCAGGTTATACGTCAGCAGGTGTGGGCGTAATTATGCTAAGTTATGAATATATTTATACTCTATTCATTGCAATGAGCAAGCGCATGTGTGCAGTAATAATTTCTGGTTTGATGTCTTGCGCGGAAAAGAAAAAAAAAGACAAAATCACGCACGAGTAGCAGGAGAAGGCCGCAACATTTTTGTCTTCTGAAAGCCGTAGCGTCCGCTGTGCATTACTGCTGTACACATGACGTGCGGAAAATTTTATTCTGTTACTTTTATATATCAACGACTAGACGTTGAATATTAATTTTTATTATTTTTATTGCGATGTCATACTCGTTGTTGAATAATGCACTTATCGACTAATGCACTTTTGACATTAAGCCCGCCGCAAACAATAGCTATCAACTGTGCTAACGATTTCGCGTAGCACAGTTAGCAGTTAGCTCTGCCTGAAATCCATGAGTTAACAGCTACACGAGGTCTTTAGCTCAGCTAATAGCTCTCGTGTGCGGCGGGTTTAAACCATACGGTCCATACCTGTTGTAACGTACATAAAAATATCTGAAGCAAAAATATGGGACAAACCATTTTGATCTTAAATCCTCCTTCTCAACCGCCTTTCTTTGTAGTCCACATAATAGTCTCACTACACCACGTACTCCCACACTCAATGATATAAAAAACGAAGTTAATATATTATTTCTCTCTTGCGTTAAAGTGGTCGTAACTCATAAATACTTAATTGAATAGTTAAAGCGTATAGTTGTTTGTAAAATATATATGATAAAAATAGTTTAGTTCATCAAAAGCGAAGTCGAAAGTTATTTTGACTAGGTTGAAAAGGACAAAAACCCTTCCTTTCCGTGAGGGATTTGACTGATTGTTATTGCGAGTGTTGCCTATGACGTTTCTCAAAATTAGGCTCGCAGGTATATTTCATTACTTCATGACAACCGAGAACAAGTTCCGTGCATTATTTTTCATTCAACAATATGGACACAACACTGCATGAAAAGCGCCGTATTCCAAGGTATTCACATGTGAATACGGGTGTGAATAAAACACATATTGCAAGCGTATTCCGACATGGAATATTAGTGTGAATACGGCATCGTATTCTTCAGTATTCTAAGTGTGAATACGCCGTGAATATGCCGCGTATTCTGACCAATATTCACACTTGGAATATCTCACTTCTCACTTAATCCGTGTTTCCACAAAATAAATTCATCAGCTGACATTTTTAAACTTTATTTTGAATGCTGAAAAATTGAAGTGGAATTTTATAAATAATTTGGCGCAAAAACCAAAAAGCGCGCTTTCGAGTTTAATAAACATTGAACGAGGAGATCGTGCGTTTGTGGCTGTAAGAAATCTTTTTGGCGCTTATAAATAAAGAAGAAAGTGAAGGATGCCAAGGGCTTGGTAAAGTCTGGAAACTCTGGTCGCAGTTAAAGAGCATGCCGGCGAGTATTTGTATGCTACGATTCCCACGAAGTCTGATGAAGAAAATGCGCGAAATAGAAATGAGATTGCATGGCGCGATTTCCACAGCACCTTATGTTCGCTAATACGTGTAAAATGATAACGAATATTAACCGTATTTCAAGGATTTTTTATTGTTCAAAACCGAAAACGCATATACTGTTTGTGCGTAAGGGACCTCTTCGGTGAGTGACTAAATATCGTGCAGTTGAATTCAATAGCCGGCCTATGGACTATACCCTATGACCATGTTGGGAGTAATCTCAACATTTTATTAACAAATTACCTGGTGATAAGAGGTTAATGGGTTATGCGTTCGCAGCCTGTGCGAATGTTTAGGCATTTATTGTCCCTCAAGTCTGTCCATTAAGGAAAATATCAATATGAACAAACATGCATAATCTTTAGGTTGCCATGTTAATTTGCATAGCAGTCATACACATTGCAATGGTAGGTTTATCCACAATTAATGTGTTTTATCAAGGTTGATCAAATGCAATACTAAGATTTCAGTCAATTATTTAAATTTTATACAGTCCTTAAAAGATCATGTACATGTGATGGGTTACAACATTTCACATTTTATAAAATATTATTGGAACATCACAAATTGTTCAAAAATATGTAGCAAAAACACAGCCTATCATGAACTTCTACTAAGCTGTTATGATTTTCAATCTTTCATCAGCTGATTGTTAATTTATAAGCAATGTTGTTTTAGTATATATGAAACATTGCTCCTGGAGTATGTCAGAAATTATACTTAATAGTAAATTGTTGAGCAAAGCAAGTGATGTTTTTTCACTTGGTAAGATATTAAAAACTATAGGTGAGCAGATAATGAATCAGGAACTTCTTTCACTGGGTGAAAAATCCTCTTCATCTTTAGCAAAGTTAAGGCCAACTCTTTTGGGAATTTTCTCAATCTTGCAACCCCTGATGGCTAAAAACAATTAAAACCACCTTAAAGCAATTATTGAACAAAATACATAGCAAACTTTCTTAAGCTTAAAAGCTGATGTTGCATGCATGGCCATTTGTTTTTATTGTTGTGCATAGAATTTATGCAGTGTAATGAAATTATAATATTCCTAGGAGAATGTATATGTACAATGTACAATGTACACACCATTCATATAATTTGGAAGCTATTCAATTAGGGTAAAAATGGAAACAAATTCTTCCATGAACTTTAAGCTGTATATACACATAGCTACTCCTAGTATGCAAACATCGAGAAGCTGTAGTAAACTCATCTACACTTTAATGGTATATTCTTTAAGTATTGTGATTATAATTTATGTACGGAAAAGTAATTGCAAACAAATCAGTAAACAGTCTCAGTTATAAATTATGATGAGGGCAATGTTAAAAGGCTTCACTTAAAAACACAGTCTAGCATGAACTTCTAAGCTGTTAAGATTTCTGTCTTTGGGCAGCTGGTTGTTAAGATTCCTATCTTTTGGCAACCAGTTCAATAGCTATTCTGTGGTAAACATTAGTGTAAATATAATTCATATATGCTAAAAGGAAAAATATAGGCCATTATTTTGCTAAAAAATATGTATTATATATAACTAAAAAACACAGTCTGGCTTTGATTTCTAAGCTGTTAAGATTTCTGTCTTTGGGCAGCTGATTGTTAAGATTTCAATCTTTTGGCAATCAATCATTAGCTATTCTGTGACAATTATATAACAATATATATCTATAATATATAAATTTTGCCTAAAATATAAAAAACCCTCATGAGATGCACCAATGCACCTCATTTTATGCATCTTGAAACGTCTATCTAAGGGTTATGTTATGTTATGTTAAAGTTATGATTACAGCAGCTTTCTGAATATTTGTGGTAGGTAAGAAAGTAATGTGGAGGACCCCTTTTCAGTATTGGCAAACTTTTAAATTTTGTTTGTATTGAGTATGGCTTTGAAATGGCAAACATTTGTACCTACTATAATTAGTGTGTGATGGAGGTAGGATTGATGAAAACCATCATACAATTTATTTATTTACAAGCAGGTACAGTTAGCTGTGTACAAATTAGCTACAATAAACACAATAGTAATCTATTTATATTAAAAAAAACAAAAAAAGTGATGAGCCCAGCCGTAAAAGCGTTGGCCTCGCACTATTGTTGTTGTGTTGTGTTGTTTCAGGACTATAGTATGACATAACTCTTGTTATTTTTAAATAACTTACCTGATTTTAGCGCCGCCACAAGAATTATTTTGGGGCATCGCGAACATCTTTAACAATTCAAAGTTGAACAGCTTGAACTTCTGTTGAAACCACGCATTTATATATAAGCGCCCTGGTTGAAACCAATTGACATTTGTGCCATGTTATCGTTTTGTAAACAAAGGGAACTGGACAACTTTTGCGAGGAATCATTTAAAGACATTTATTTGTTATTGTTATACGACCTCCGAATTTTGCCATTTATTCGCAATTTCGCCGCAATTCCTTGGCGCAAAAATTGTCACTAACATGTCGAAGAGGAAATTTCCCAAAGGAAATTTCCTACGATTTCCCAACACTGAACTGTATATATTACGGATGCTTTTGACGATACAGAATCATCAACTTTCTACCCATGTGTTTACGTATCCAAGCAAAAATAAAAGTTTTTTTTATATATAACTTCTTTTACACAGGTAATTAAAGAAATTGATGGATATTTCTCTTTTTATACAGCTTTTTTACGACTTACGAGGCTACTCAGCGCTCATCGACTGAGGATATACGATACTCGACATCCCTGCGGCAGCAAAAAAAATTAATCAAATAAAAATCATCGTGCGTTTGGTAACATTTATTGTCTTTATTGTCTGTCGCCTAAACAAATCAAGTGCAATTTCAATTTGTGACCGTGATGAGAAGAAATGCTGGATAACAGTTGACACCGGCATTGAACTGAAACAACCTTTGCCTATTCCGTGGTATATAAACGCATTTCCTGCAATATTTACACAATATAACTCGTTGATTATCCCGTATTCATGCGTACACTCACATTTTCTATGCCGAAGTGTGAATACTAGGTCTTGAAAAATATTCACAGAGTATTCGAAGGTATTCTAGGTCAGAATACGCGGTGTGTTTTATTCACAGGTATTCACATCGGAATACCCCCAATATTCCGAGGATATTCACAGTGAATATCTGTGAATACGTGTGAATATGGACCATATTCGAACTCATATTCGCACGTATTCACCTGTGAATACGCGGTTTTTCATGCAGTGAAGCAAATGATTTCTTATGTGTTTAAGCGCTGTCAAATGCGTATGCGCAGTACGTATGCGTTTTCGAATCATGTACATCGTCAAATAGCTTTCCAAGTTAGAAAGCTCGAAGAGCGTAGTTTGTACAGAAAGATTGAGGTGACTCTATTCTCTCACGTGGTATGCAAATCGATCAATCGTAACGTATGTTTACAAAAAATGAATATTAGATATCCTTATTGAGGGCTCCGACATTA